AACTATAAATGTTTTGTCACAGAATATATTAGAAAAAATGTAACAAAATATTAACGTACAAATTTTAAAATTTTGTTTTTCTTATATTTATCATTAATATTAAAAATAATTTTTTTATTAATTTCTCTTAACACATTGCATGCGGGTATATTTTGCCGCGGACTTACGCGTGTAGCGGGCGTCTCCAGCACTAAATCTACTAAATACGTATTTTTACGTGACCCGCGCTCCAATGACAGACAGCAAAAAACATAAAAGTACGTTTCCCGCATGCAATGTGTTAATCTAAGTGCCAACCAGGCACAATATTATTTCTTTAGGTATAATATCAGAGAGAAGCCTTCTCTGATAATATTATCATTTATTTTTTGCTTGACTAGGCTAGTGACTTTTTCAAATATAAAGATCTCTTTACTCAAACCAGAGTCACCATGAAAAAGAACGAACTCTTTTTCCATAACGTTCGCTACATTAATTAAATGCTACATGCCACCATAATTTAATTAAAATAGCAAGGCACAAATTGACTCTATTTTTTCAATATGGAAGGCCACTTGTTCCAGCGCCATATGTGCGCAGAACAAGTCGAAATTTGATCTACTTGACGAGCACACCTTGGCTGCGTTCCGATATTCACTGCCAGTACTAAAAATCTATAGTATGCGTGACATAAACTATAGATTTTCAGTACTGGCAGTGAATATTGGAACGCAGTTTCAATATTCACCTTGTTTCTTATTCCACCATGTACGTATGTATGTACACTCCGCGACAACGATTCGTTCCGTGGTCTCTCTCGCGGGGCAAGGGGAGCGTAGCCTCTGACCAATCAGCCACTGCCACGCTGCCAGCTGATTGGTCACTTTTACGCTCCCTGCCCCGTGAGAGAGAGGCCACGGAACGAATCGTTGTCGTGTAGTGTACAGTGCGCGTCAATGATTCGTCCCGTTTCCCTAGCGAGGGTTGGTAATATCTATCCTTTGCTAATGCATACGATCCTTATACATTAGTAAAGGATAGATATTACCAACCCTCGCTAGGGAAACGGAACGAACCATTGACGCGCACTGTACGTATATACGTACGTATTAATTATTTAGGTGCACGTTTTTGAGGTCAACAGATGGCGTATCGCTTTCAGGGATCACCTAAAAGCGGGCCGTGACACCTTTCATTCTTCTTTCTGTTAGAGCCTTCGCACAAGGTGTTTCGTATCGTATTACGTTACGTTAGGTATCAATGATAAATTTAATTCCGTATGTAAACTTAAACTTCAGTCAACACACAGAAAATATTGTAAAGATATGTCTTTACGTTACAATTTTTTCTGCGTTGACTGAAGTTTAAGTTTACGTACGGAGTTAAATTTATCATTGATATTTAACGTAACGTAATGGGATACGGATACGGAATACCTTGTGCGGAGACCCTTGTTTATGTCACGCATATTATACATTTTCTGTCACTTCATACGCATCATGCGTAAATCGGAAGGTACCCAGAGAAAAACGTATATGCAACTAACGTATACGTTTTCCTTTGTCTTTACGTCCGTAACTGCGACAGATGTAAGCGCATACGTCTCATTCTTTGCCATCAGTTTTAGTTTTACAATATAGAAAAATACGTCAAATTTTCAAATATTTTTTTCTTCCAAACAGTATTAAATAATGTATATTCATTAAAGTATAAAATAAGTTACTTTTATTAATTTGAAATAAATCTCCCTAATTATGATATATAACAATGTTTTTATATTTCAATAATTATTTAGTGTACTTTATTTTCAGTGGTACAAATTATGTTATTATGATGAGTCATTGTATAATGCAATGCACACCATTACTGTAAAAGACATACATTTACAGTGTAAGACTCTAATTTCACATATGAACATTGTGTCGTTTATAAATGAATGAGGTAAGTTCAATAGCTGGTAATGGTATGTATTACTAACACTTCTACTAAAATTACATGTGTATGAAAATCTAGTTTATAATATTTTTAATTTAGATTATTAAATACAACTTTCTTTAATTTTTATAGGAGCAGAAAACACGAGATTTTGTGTGATAATCAGTAAAATAAGTCTAATCAACATTTGGAGATTTAGATCAAGAGAAAATCCATTTACAAATTATGAAATTCTGATAAGTGAGAGTTCATTATTATTGTCTCCACTTTCAGAATCTTGTGAAATGTTATGGAATTATCTTCTATAATTAGCTGTTTATTGTAGAAAAGTCAATATGCTTCTAATTTACACATATGTTTGTAGACTGTTCTTTACATATGTTCACAGAATGCAAATGAAATTTGTACTCTGAGCCAAGTAATACGTGTTTGTATAGTTTAAATAATCTTTAAAAATTTATTCATAAAGTGCAGTAAATGTAGTATTTGTATTATCTATATTAAAGAATTTAAATAATATATATGTAATTTATCAATTTAACTTAACCAACGTATCAATTTTAGAATTATAATGTATAAACATACATTATTTTTTAAAGAAATAATCTCATATTGATATGATAATATATTTGTAACAATTATACTTGAAAATTTATATGTATGTGTATGTGTATTGTCTCATATAATGGATATTATATGTATATTTATTGAATATTATAATGGAACAGGAAGATGCTTTTGTATTGCATAATATTTGATTGGAAAACATAGTATATTAGATTCTAATTTTATTATTATTACTATTATATAATTCTAAATCTTTAAGTTATTAGTTGTTTACTTGAATTTTAATGAGATATGTTTAGTAGATGGTAGTATATATATACATATATACTGTTAATATTTTTAGTAAAATTATTTGTATGAATAACTAGTATATAACATTTTTTTTAATTTATAATGTTTCTAATTTATATTTTCGAATGTCAAAACACTTTACTTTTACTAAGTACTAACTAGAAACTAAGACTGAGGTATCCTGCATCCATATAATTAACTAACACATATTTTTTTCTGTTTCTTAATAATTCCTCAAGTCTTTTAAATGAATTTTATGATTTATATCCTTTATTAAAATCTTATATATAGAATAGCATGTGAATATATTTATCTACACAGCCTTTTTGGAAAATTACTCTTTTGCTTTAACAAAATTTATAGAATAATATTTATATTATTATAGATAATATATATTGAAGTAAATAGAAATAAAATATATATGTATGTTAACGTGATGCATATTTGGATATAGATTATATATAATATACATTATATTTATATGTATATATTCCCAAACTGAAAATTTATTAAATTTTATTAATTAATTTATGTATTTGTAAGAATATTCTAATAACAAACATTACACATATATTATTTAAATTATCTAATATAGATAATACAAATACTGCATTTACTGCATTTTATGAATAAATTATTAAAGATTATTTAAACTATACAAATACATATTACTTGGCTAGGAGTACAAATCTCGTTTGCATTCTGTGAACATATATAAAGAACATTCTACAAACATATGTGTAAAATTAGAATCATATTGACTTTTCTTCAATAAACAGCTAATAATTATAGAAGAGAATTCCATAACATTTCACAAGATTCTGAAAGGACCTTCTGGAGACTATAATAATGAACTCTCACTTAACAGAATCTCATAATTTGTAAATGGATTTTTTCTTGATATAAATCTCCAGATGTTGATTAAAAAAGCTTATTTTACTGATTACCGCACAAAATTTCTTGTTCTCTGCTCCTATAAAAATTAAAGAGAAAGTCGATATTAATAATCTAAATTAAAAATATTATAAATTAGGTTTTCATACATATGTAACTTTAGAAGTATTAGCAGTAATACATACCATTACCAGTTATTAAACTTACCATATTCGTTTAGTAAACGACATTCAGATGGAAAATTAGAATCTCCTTAAATATATATTTATGCTAAGTGTTAAAAGGGAAAGAAGGAATAATCTCCTTCACATAGACACTTTCTCTACGAGAAGTGATGCATTCAAACAATGCGCTTCTTTACGAGAAGCGTTCCACTAAGATGGTGCTTCTTTACGAGAAGTTTTTTCTTGAGATGGCGCTTCTCTACGAGAAGCGTCGCTCCCGATCTCGCGTACGACCATAGAGCGGCGCGGCGATCGCGCCCGGTTCCCGAGGGCGAGCTCGGGTTTTTCCGTTTCTTTTTCAGTTTTGTGTGGAGAATCTTCCATGGACGACGTTCGCGAAAAGACGGTCTGTGACGACACATGCGACTTGGATTGAACTTCGAGTGCGATCATCCTTCAAGCTGAGTGCGATCATCCTGCAAGCTGAGTGTAATCATCCTGCAATCTGAAGTCAATCATTCGGCAAGCTGAGCTAAAAGGGAAGCTGACCTTCGAAATATCGATGGTGAATCCGGAATCAGAACTATTCGAACTCGAAACAAAGGATCCGCCATTTTGATACTGGAATCTTCTACGAGGATCCAGGTTCTCAGCTTCATACTGAGGCTCAGATCGGGATAACCTGGGTGTTTTCCTTTTCGTCTGAAAAGCATTGATCTATGATCAATTCTTCCGGACAGATCTTATGACACGTGGCACCGGCCCCCCTACCCCCGTTCCTTTCTTTTCTTCGTATACAACTACACACACCTTTTATAAGTCTCTACATATTATACTCTAAAGTTTATTCAATATCAGAAAAATATTCTTAATCTTATCGACGTGAATTCAGTTTAATATTCGTTACTGACTTAATTATTACGTTAATTCCTATATATTAATTATACTCAGAAGTTTTATTTAGTTGTTATTAATTAATAGAGTATATCGCTTATGTTGTGTTAATTAAAAGTTTTCCTTTTCTTTTCTATTTATGCAGTTAGCATTTATTTCGTCTCTCGCTCTCTCTTTCTCTCTCTCTCTCTCCTTCCATCCTCTGCGTGTATACTTAATATAAAACATATTTTTTGGTCCTTCGAGCCGGATAACGGCAAGCATTTGGAGAGCAGAATGAGAGTCGATCATATCGAGAGACGTATCGAACAACAGATCATTCTTAAGGAATTGATTGACAATGCCTACGGCAATTTTGCAAAGGTTGGATACTCCAACGTCACTTCTTACCGAGTACAAGCACGACTCGCTTCTCTCAACGAGAACTGGTCAAAATTCTCTGTTATCCATGATGCCATCGTATTGTCTATGACAAAATTAAGCTTAGAGGAACAATCATGTTTAAGAAATCTCTCTTACTTTTCAGAAAACTTCTTCTCAAGTACGCATGAATGCTATCTCGAGGCAGTCGAAAAAATATCTTCATTACTTGATTCTGAAAATCAAGTTACAAGAACGCCATCGACTCCTTCGGAGTCTCAAACATCTGGCGTCCCGGTGTTCTTCCATCATGCAAGACTGCCTCGAATTGATATTCCTAAATTCAACGGATCTCCCGCTGATTGGTTGTCATTCAAGGATTTATTTAGCTCTCTCATTTTAGCAAATCCTACTCTAACCGCTGTCGAGAAATTACAATATTTGAAGACGAGTCTGATCGGATCTGCTTCTCATTTGTTGAAAAATACCACGCTTACGGCAGATAACTTCCAGAAAGCCTGGGATGCACTAATTTCTTTTTACGAAAACAAACGATTGTTAGTCAATGCCGCTCTTCATTCTTTAGTAACCCTCAAGCGAATGACGAAAGAATCTGCCAATGAAATGGAACAATTATACACAGGCATTATGCAAATATATCGGACTCTGGAGACGTTACATCGACCTGTGGAGACTTGGGACGATTTTTTAGTCTTTCTCGCCGTACAGCGATTAGACTCAGAATCGGTCAAGGCATGGGAGCATCACCTAGGACCATCCAAGGATCCTCCAACATGGAAACAATTCAGCGAATTCCTGATAACTCGTTTGCTATCACTGCAAGCTTTCGAAAAATCCCGGACAGGTAAATCATCTCAGAGTGCCATCAAGTCTCATTTTCAGGGCAAGGCGAAAGAAGGTCAGTCCAGCAAAGCAAATTCCTGTGTAATCTGTTCTGGCAATCAATATGTGCCAAAATGTCCTCAATACAGCTCGAAAACAATTCAACAACGAGTTGCAATCATCACAAAACATCGTTTATGCTATAATTGCTTAGGATCTCATCGAGTGTCTGCTTGTCGCATAACAACCCGCTGCCAAAAATGTGGGCAAAAGCACCACACTACGATTCACCAACATAAAGGAACAACTTCTGATACGGGAATTAATCCTGATAATTCACCCGTTACAAACCCTAAATCCACCGAAGCTCATGTTTTGCATGCTGCAAAGCAATCAAAACCATCGATGTCATCTATATTTTTGGCTACCGCCCAAGTTGACGTCATAGCACCGAACAACGAAACCTTAAGAGCAAGAGCGTTAATCGATCAAGGATCTGAGATTTCGTTGATTTCCGAACGCATTGCACAAGTCTTACGACTTCCAAGAACACGGTCATCTATCCCGTTAGTTGGAATAGGAGGAAAGAAATCCAACAAAACACGAGGAATCGTTTTCTTCAAATTCAGACCGCATTTCAATTCCAACTCAGAATTGTCAATGACCGCGCATATACTGCCAAAGCTGACTGACACTATTCCATCTATTCAGATTGAACAACGCAATTGGCATCATTTAGATGGACTCCAATTAGCGGATAAGGACTTCGCGTATCCAAACTCTATAGACCTAATACTAGGTGCAGATATCTACGGGCAAATCATTGAAAGCGGACTTGTAAAAGCGGACAAGAACTCTCCTATCGCACAAAGAACGAAACTGGGATGGATCATTTCAGGCGTAGCCGGATCACGTGCGAATCTCAATAAAATACAAGGATATCACGTCTCACTTAATCGAGAGCTTCACGATTTAATCGCTAGGTTCTGGGAGAGCGAAGAAGTCTCTACAACCTCCACATCATCTCTATCTAGAGAAGCTCAAGAGTGTGAACAGCATTTCCTCACTACCCATTCTCGTGATGCTGATGGAAGATATGTCGTTCAACTTCCTTTTAAGAAACCGACAAACAGCCTTGGTGATTCTCGATCAAAAGCTGGGCGAATTCTTAATAATCTGTCTAAGCGATTAAAGAACGAACCTGCCTATTCTTCTTCCTATTCAGCATTCATGAAGGAGTATGAAAGCCTGAATCACATGAAACGTGTTCCAGACGATGAGACAGAGCCTCCACTTTCGTTTTACCTACCACATCATGGAGTTGTACGAGAAGGCAGTCTCACCACGAAATTACGAGTTGTCTTCAACGGATCAAGTCGCAGTAGCACAGGTGTATCCTTAAACGACTTGTTACATACAGGAGCAAAATTACAACTGGACTTATTCGACGTTATTATTTGGTTTCGCCAATTTCGGTACGTGTTTTCTACTGACGTGGAAAAAATGTATCGTCAGATAAAAGTACATCCCACCGATTGGAACTTTCAACGTATTCTGTGGTTGGACGAGTCTCACCACACTGTTACGTATCAATTAACAACGGTTACGTATGGATTGGCCTGTGCGCCATTTTTAGCTCTTCGAGTCCTAAATCAACTGGTCTCTGACGAAGGATCTAACTTTCCACTCGCTGTTCCAATTCTACAACGTGGAAGATATGTTGATGACCTTTTTGGAGGAAGTAACTCGATTCATCATGCGCGTGAGATTGTCAGGCAATTAGATCAGCTCTGTATGGCGGGCGGTTTTCCCTTGCAAAAATGGATAAGCAACAACTCGGAAATCCTTGATCCTATTCCTGCTGGAAGACGAGTTAACTCGCCATGTTTGCAAATCGAAGATACGACTGCCATACAGGTACTCGGGCTGTGCTGGAAACCTGTTGCGGATAATTTTCAATTTACAATTAATTTATCATCATCTCCAGTAATGACAAAACGAAGCGTTCTATCAACCATCGCGAGATTGTTCGACCCTCTCGGTTTGATATCCCCAGTCATCATTCCAGCTAAGATATTTATTCAAGAATTATGGACTATTAAGATTGACTGGGATGATTCGTTGCCTCCGCACCTCTCTTCCAAATGGATCAAATTTATTGATCAACTTAAGACCACGTCAAATTTAACATTCCCGCGTTGGTTGAACACTCAGTCTAAACAACCAATCGAGATGCACGGATTTTGCGATGCCTCTCAACAAGCTGTCTCTGCAGTGATCTATATTCGAACCTCTAACGATCAAGGGGAGACAATTTCCAGTTTAGTATGCTCCAAGACAAAGGTTGCGCCTTTAAAAAGAATGACTGTTCCACGGCTGGAACTTACTGGAGCAGTACTTTTAACAAAATTAATGTCGCATGTTCTCCGAATTCTAGAACTTGCAACTTCTCCAGTATACATGTGGACCGACTCTGCCGTTGCATACACCTGGATAAACAATCATCCTTCAAGATGGAAAGACTTTGTTTACAACAGAGTCTGCTTCATCCAAGAGACGGTGCCACAAGCAACTTGGAAATTTGTTCCTGGCACTGAAAATCCAGCTGACTGTGCAACACGAGGACTAACACCTTCGCAATTGTCTGAACACTTGATGTGGTGGACAGGACCTCAATGGTTATCGCAATCTCCATCAACCTGGCCGAAATACTCTCAACTGCCATCTCATAAAGACAACCTCGAAGAGCGACCTACAAAATCCTACGTCATTACTAAGGCACAATCCATGGAACGTTGGAACCTCATTAATCGATATTCTAGCCTAACACGGTTGTTGCGCGTTACTTGTTGGTGCTTGCGAGCTATTCGTATATTTAAAAAACAATCAGAGAATTCAATAACAGGACCGATCACTATTCAAGAATTAGAAGGAGCGAAACATCATTGGGTTAAGATCACCCAGCAATCATGATCTTTGAAGACGAACTTTCCAAGATATCGACAGGACAATCATTACCGAGATCCAATTCTCTTTTACGCCTAACACCCTTTCTCGATCCTAGTGGGTTATTGCGTGTTGGAGGTCGTCTTCAGTCGTCTCAATTATCTGAATCAGCAAAACACCCGCTCATCCTCCCCAAGAAATCTGCACTCACCTCTCTAATTATTGCTGACGCTCATCTAAAAACTCTCCATGGAGGAACTCAAGTTACCGTGACGTTTCTACGAAACGAATATTGGATTATTGGAGGACGAAGTCCGGTACGTTCCTTCATTCTTAAATGCGTACGCTGCTCTCGATACCGCCAAAACCGAGCACAGCAAATAATTGGTCAATTACCGTTCGAGAGAGTTACACCATCTCGACCATTTTTACATACCGGAGTTGATTATGCGGGGCCACTCCTACTCAAGAATTGGAAAGGAAAAAATTCCCGAAAATACAAGGCGTACATTGCCCTCTTTGTCTGCCAGGCTATTTCCGCAATTCATTTAGAATTAGTTACAGACTACTCAACTGAAGCCTTCATTGCAGCTTTTAAGCGCTTCACAGCTCGAAGGGGAATATGTGCCACTCTTCGAAGCGACTGCGGTACTAATTTCAAAGGAGCAGACTCGGAGCTTCAGAATCTCTTCTCGAAAAATTTAAAGGAATTAGGAGATTTAGCTACGCTGCTAAGTAACGATGGTACTCAGTGGCTCTTCAATCCTCCTGCCGCTCCTCATTTCGGAGGTTAATGGGAGGCAGGAGTTAAGTCTGTGAAATACCATTTGAAGAGAGTCGTCGGCGATAATCTCCTAACATATGAAGAAATGAATACACTTCTAACTCAAATAGAAGCAGTGCTAAACTCTAGGCCCCTCAGTTGTCTTTCTGACGATCCAGAGGATCTTCATGCATTAACTCCAGGACACTTTCTTACAGGAAGTTCTCTAACCACAATACCTGAACCGTCATTGTTATCAGTTAAAGGCTCTCGCCTTTCGCGGTGGCAACTCACCCGCCAAATGCTGGAAAGTTTCTGGACACGTTGGTCAAGGGAGTGCTTGCAACGGCACCTTGCCATTTATAAGTGGAATCGAATCAGTCCTTCCTTACAGGAAGGCTCGCTCGTTCTAATTACAGATGAACGATATCCTCCCTCTAAGTGGCCCTTAGGCCGAATTGTTCAAACTCATCCAGGCAAGGATGGTCAGGTACGAGTGGTCTCTATTCGCACTCAATCTGCAATTGTAAAACGACCAGTTGTCAAAATCTGCCCCCTTCCTATTTCGGTTAACTCTGTTTAATCCTTTCGTCGACACCAGTTGACGAAGGCGGGCGGAATGTTAAAAGGGAAAGAAGGAATAATCTCCTTCACATAGACACTTTCTCTACGAGAAGTGATGCATTCAAACAATGCGCTTCTTTACGAGAAGCGTTCCACTAAGATGGTGCTTCTTTACGAGAAGTTTTTTCTTGAGATGGCGCTTCTCTACGAGAAGCGTCGCTCCCGATCTCGCGTACGACCATAGAGCGGCGCGGCGATCGCGCCCGGTTCCCGAGGACGAGCTCGGGTTTTTCCGTTTCTTTTTCAGTTTTGTGTGGAGAATCTTCCATGGACGACGTTCGCGAAAAGACGGTCTGTGACGACACATGCGACTTGGATTGAACTTCGAGTGCGATCATCCTTCAAGCTGAGTGCGATCATCCTGCAAGCTGAGTGTAATCATCCTGCAATCTGAAGTCAATCATTCGGCAAGCTGAGCTAAAAGGGAAGCTGACCTTCGAAATATCGATGGTGAATCCGGAATCAGAACTATTCGAACTCGAAACAAAGGATCCGCCATTTTGATACTGGAATCTTCTACGAGGATCCAGGTTCTCAGCTTCATACTGAGGCTCAGATCGGGATAACCTGGGTGTTTTCCTTTTCGTCTGGAAAGCATTGATCTATGATCAATTCTTCCGGACAGATCTTATGACACGTGGCACCGGCCCCCCTACCCCCGTTCCTTTCTTTTCTTCGTATACAACTACACACACCTTTTATAAGTCTCTACATATTATACTCTAAAGTTTATTCAATATCAGAAAAATATTCTTAATCTTATCGACGTGAATTCAGTTTAATATTCGTTACTGACTTAATTATTACGTTAATTCCTATATATTAATTATACTCAGAAGTTTTATTTAGTTGTTATTAATTAATAGAGTATATCGCTTATGTTGTGTTAATTAAAAGTTTTCCTTTTCTTTTCTATTTATGCAGTTAGCATTTATTTCGTCTCTCGCTCTCTCTTTCTCTCTCTCTCTCTCCTTCCATCCTCTGCGTGTATACTTAATATAAAACACTAAGTTTATTACATAGATACAATGATGTTATTGGTATAATAATATTATGACCACTGAAAGTAAAATAGATTAATTAATAAAATATTGATAATAACAGTGCTACAAATTGTTTATCGACAATCTAATCTAATTTCAGATTTTTAATAAATATGTAAATGCACTAAAGCACATTCATAAAGTAAGTGTATATTATTTACATATGTGTATATTACATATAAAGAAAATTGACTTCTAATTAAGAAAAATATTTTATATTCAAACGAAAATACATTCAACAGCACTTTGTGTAAAAAAAATATTTAAAAATTTTAGGTATTGTTTTAAACTGTAAAAGCAACTTTTAAAATTCTGAAACTTGAAAGTGAGGTTAGAAAATGTGTCACATCAATCGATTTTGGCTGCGTTTACATGACGTATATTATAGATTTTCAGTTTACTGGCATTACTGGCAGTGAATATTGGAATACAGTCTTCATACTATGGTCACGCTTCGAAATTCACTGCCAGTGTAGGTGGTGGTATTGGAAAATACCGTACATAATACATACTATTATATTTTAGTTTGTCACATATGTGTTATCCATAATTAACTATATAATCCGATGATAAGTTTTTTAATACCTTATGTAATAATTTTTTACTATTACTGTTCCTCTTTCGAAAGACACATCCGTATATTATCCGAAACTGTACATTTGTTTGTACTGTCGTCAAAATAATCGATCTATAGTAAATTGCATATACATACTTATTAATACGTTTGATCGAAAAAATTTTGATAATGTATACATCAGGGAGTTAATGTACTCTAATGTATGCAGTAATATTGGATGTATATTAGTGTCGTCAAAACAGCTGTTTGACATATATATATACATATATATATATATATATATATGTATAATAATGTAATATATATATATATATATATATATATATATATATACCCCAATAACCAAGCATGCTAAGCACGTTCTGCCAGCGCATCATGCAATCAATATGCGGTCTCTGTGCCATCTTGTATCGATAAAGCAGGCAATGTTCGCACAGTGTCATCAGGTAACGCAATCATGCGATGAAAGCATACTGTAAGTACGATATCGCATTAAAATAAAAGTCGTCGTGCGAATAGGTGCCACGTGCTCACCCAGGCAGCAACGTCACGTGATTTTCACGTCGATAAGTAGTGATTAGCGGTCCTCGACGTCATATACTCAATAACTGACGTTTAAGATACGTAAATATTCTAACGTAATAATAACGTAAATTTTAAGACGTTTATAATACGTTTAAAACAAGTCATTTTTATTTAAATAATTTTTTTTTATATAAATTAACTTTATTCTTTTATAATTCGTCAATGAAAAATATAAAAATCTACTAAATATTAAAATATATTAATTATTATAATTTTTATTAAATGTCATTAATAATTGCGCGTATAAATTTTTCCTACGTAGCAAATCTGTCATTTTGACGTCGAATGACGTTATTAAACGGTAAGATGACGTCAAGTAGACATTTAATGACGTCAGTTTGCTACTTCAATAGAAATTTCTATAAAATATTTGAAAGACATTACAAATAAAGATATCTGAAAAACATCTTATCATTTTAAGATGTTTTCTAGGCGTTAAAAAAATAGATATGTGACAATACGCACACAATAATTTAATGCATGAATATTAGGCAGCGCTCATGTACGCGCCTTTTCTTTATGTCAAGTACTTCGTGCATATTCCTCCCGCTTGATGCTACTCATTGGCGGCAACCGGCAACCGGCTATTGTTTTTCGAGAACGTTTTTATTCTGTGCTTTGCGTAATACAATTTACAGTTTGTTTGTTGGTAAGTATCTAATACAAGTTTATTATCTTTATATTGACATATTTTTCTCTCGTACTTGAGCACAAATGTTGAAATATTTAATAATTAGAAATATTTGTAATAGTGTGTTTGTATATAAAGTATGCTTTATTCACATAACCTCTCTGTTTGCTATATTTGGGTTATGTTCCAAAACATCCTTTTCAAGGAAAATTTTACTACTATTATCTATAATGCGATGCACATTTAGTATTTCATAATTAGAAATATTTGTAATAGTGTTATTTTATAAGATACTTAATTCACATAATTTCTGTTTATTATCTGGGTTACGTTCCAAAACATATCCTCTTCCAAGAAAATTTTACTTAAAAAATTAGTGCACGTTATGTGTATTATAGATTTTCAGTAGAATTTTCCTCGAAGAGGACGTTTTGGAATATGTAACTCTGCAAATGCAAAATAGCTACATTTATTTTAATTTTTAACGTATATACTTGTTCTCAAATTTATGTCTTCAATAATTTCAATAATTTCAATAATCCAAAATAAATTCAAAGTAATTAATATTTTTAAGAATGTATCATTTATTATTATTAAAAAAATATTTTTTAAATATCAAATTTTTTATATTGATTGATTTATATTAAAATTTGTAGGTTTAATGACATTTTTACTGTCTAGAAAATGTCATTCATTGGAATTGAATTTACAGATGATAGTGGTGGCGGCCTTGCACTTGTAAGCAAACAGTGGTTAACACCACGTAAACAAGAGGTGTTTTGGCCGCCTTATAAATTTCAATCTCAATATAATAAGGCTATTAAAAAAGGCGTAGTCCCAGAGGAAGATGGTTCTTGGAAAATTTTTAAAATTAAACGCTGTTTTTTTGAAACTGGTAAAGTGTAAATTACAAAATTTTCTATAAATATTTATCTTTATGTATATATAATTGTATTGTAGATGATTATAGCAAAGCACAAAGGCAAATCAAACAAGCACAGATAACGTCTGATTGTCAAAGTGAAGTTGAGGAGGTTTTGCCATTAAAGAGAACAATCCATAAACCGAAAAAATTAATATACAGCAGCAGTGATGATGAGGACGAGGTTTTATCTGAGAAGCATAAACTTCCACCACCACCAAAGATTGTCAGATTAAATAACAAGGCAAATAATGATGAAGCATCATCTTCATCATCACGTAAGTGATCCCTATAAGACACAATATTCCTAAAATATTGTATAAATATTATTAACAGTTAATAATATTTATACAATATCCTAAGAATATTGTGTGCTTATAGGGATATATCAATTAGTTATGGTCATTATATATCAATATAATAATATTAACATTTTGGTTAACTATAGAAATAGAGAAAGATTTATAATTATATGTATATTTAAGAATTGCTTTTCTTGATTTCAACATTACGAAATATACAGATCTATTCCTTTGTTTATTTATAGTTTTAACACTAATTGAAAAAGATAAAAATCGAGCTCAAGTAAAGACAGAAACAGTAATATTTTACAAGTTACTCACAGTAGATAAATAAACAATAAATGAACTCTATATCATTTAAAAACAAATATTAACATTTTTTACATATATTTTTTAGAAACGTCAAAAAGTATCCAACAAAGTGCAGCATCTGATACACTGAATTCTTTTAATGGTGATCCTCAAACATCGTACAGTAGTCCATCTCATTCAACAAATATATTTAGATCATTTTCGAATAGTACTCCAACTATATCAACTGTAATTGAAAATAGTTTTCAAGATAGTATCCACAATGACGGTACAGGTAAAACTTAAATTTGTTAAAAACTTTGAAATTTAATAATTATATTATTATTATATTATTGTCTTATATATTTTTTTCAGTTACCAAAAAAATATTTTCCTTCCTTATTCATATTAAGGAACAAAATAACAAAATATTAGCATTATTTAATGATAAACAAATCGCTCCAAATATTTCAGCTCAATTAACTTTAGAAGATTTGCCAGTAAATTTACCTGTATCGACTCAAGCGGAGTTGGATAGTTTTGAAAATTATTTAAAAAGTAATCAAAATAATTTATCTTCCATGGTAAATATTTGTTATTATGTAAATCAATAACTTTTTCTGTTACTATGTGATTTCTGTTACTATGTGTTAATACAAGTTTTAATATTACAGTGTTCATATTTAGCCACATTGGGTGGAAGAGATTTTACATCCAAAACTAACAGGATTTTAAAATATCTTTTAAGAGATGAGGTAGCTTCTAATTACAGTTTTTACGGTAAACGAATGAACAAAAGTCCCTTTTCTTCTTTAACTTGCTGCAGTGCTGTAGTTAGTAAGTATTTCTTTTTATCAAATTTAAAAAAGTTTATTATACAATTGTTATTATACGTTCACTATCCATATAAATTTTATTATGAGCAATGTTAGCTAAAACATATCCAATAAGGTTGTTCTAATGTTATTAAAATTTTATGAATATGCAGTTGCATTAGTCGCTTATCATTTACATTTATATTACATTTCTGAGCTGTTAAATATATAGATAACTAAATAAAACAACTACATGTTTATTAATAACATTAATAACAATTAAAAACATTGACACAGTAATAGATCTTTAGCTAATATCAATTATGACAGTATATTATGAAATTTTCTTTGAATTTTGGTCTCAAAAAATACTCTCTGTATTGCTCATTTCATGTATTAAACTTTTGTTTTTATAGAATCGGTAAAATCAACATCATCTCAGACAGAAAAAGATATTGAAGATGTGATTAAGGTATGGCTTAAACACGCACCTCAGCGTATAAAAAATCGTAATAAAAATAAAGCTCCTGAACATAATAATAATAAAAAATAATAAATTGGTTTTTATAAAGATTAGGTTGTGATCCGTTTTGAGATAGAGTTTTTTGTTTCAAGTTTCTTAGAATTTATTTGTTTTATTCGGTACTTATATTTTAAGTTTTTGTCTACAGAAACATTTATTTTATTGTTTTATTTTAATTTTTATATTTGCGTTAAATTTAATACTATTCCTTGAAATATATTCATTAAAATATATTTAGCTTTGCTTTTTTAGATATCAGATAAGTAAAAGATAAGTATATTAATTTATTTTTATACAAAAATGTTTTCAAATAAAAAAATCAAACATAAAAAAACAAAATTAAAACATAATGTAGGCGTGCGACAGTTATATAGGAGAGTCTCAAAAGCTGTAAGTACTATTTTAGATGAAGTAGTGCAAATTGAAGCTAATAATATTAGTGTTAATAATGGTAATATTTCAAATATTAATAATGATGAATGTTCCAATTATAATATTAATAATGATGAACGTTCTAATTATATTAACAATGAATGTTCTAATTGTAATAATTTCTCTGAAGAAGAAAGCTTTACATATACACAAAATGTTACTTCATGTAACTTAGATGTTATTGAAAATATTATTTCCGATATAGATGTATATGATTCCGATAGTAATAGTATAGTTACAAATCCAGTTTTATTATCACGAGATAATCATTCACCTTTGCAAAATGATTTATCTACAAAGCTACAAGACTGGGCAACAAATTATAAAATTTCCCATTCTGCACTCACTAGTCTTTTACATATTCTTTCACCTCATTTCGCAGAATTGCCTCTTCATTCTAGAACATTGCTTCAAACACCTATACATATGCAAAGTAAACAATTGGAAAATGGAGAATATTGTCACATTGGCTTAGCAAATGAATTAAAGAATTTTTTGGCACAAAATACTATGTTCTCAGCTGAGGTGCTTAAAATTGGATTTAATGTTGATGGTTTACCTTTATTTCGTAGTTCAAACATTCAGTTTTGGCCAATTTTAGGAATAGTTAAAAATACCACACAAAATAAACCATTTCCTATTGGAATTTTCTGTGGCACGTCAAAACCAATACCGTTAGAGAAATTTTTAGATGATTTTATAAATGAATTAGTTTATCTATTAAAAGAAGGTATTGAATATTGTAATAAAAAATATCGTTTGGAAATTCACAGCTTTGTATGCGATGCTCCGGCCAAAGCATATTTGAAAATGATTAAGTCACATTGTGGCTATTCCTCATGTGATAAATGTACTGAATCAGGTAATTATGTTCAACGAAAAGTTATTATGAAAAATATTTCGGCCTCAAAACGGACAGACGATTCTTTTAAATTACAGTTGGATAAAGAACATCATATTGGTAAATCACCTTTGTTAAAACTTGAAATAGGTTTAGTTACATCTTTTCCAATTGACTATATGCATTGTGTATGTCTAGGTGTTGTGAGGAAACTTATACATTCTTGGATCGATGGACAACCATTACAAGTAAAACTTTGTAGTAGATCTACAAATATAATATCAGAACGATTAATATCACTAAAGCATTGTATTCCTGCAGAAATTAATAGAAAGCCTAGATCACTGTCAGAGTTGCAAAGATGGAAAGCAACTGAGTTTAGAACATTGTTATTATATACAGGTCCTTTAGTTCTCAAAAATGTGGTTGATAAAGCCATTTACCAGCATTTTTTATTATTGCATTCTGCAATTACAATATTAATTTCTAAAAAGCATATTTCTAAATTTACTTGTGATTTTGCTGGTGAGCTATTAAAAACCTTTGTTAATCATTGCGAGAAAATATACGGATTACAATTTTACGTATATAATATTCATATGCTATCTCATTTGAGTGATGATGCACAAATATTTGGCCCTTTAGATGAATTCTCTGCTTTTGCATTTGAAAATTATTTAGGACAGCTTAAACAAACTATTAAATCTCCTCACAAACCACTTAAACAAATATACCGTCGGTTAAAAGAACTTTCTATTTCCTCTGCTAATAAATATCTTACAACTAAAAGTTTAATAATGTATGAACTAGAACATACTTCTGGACCTTTACCAACAGCTGGTTGTCATTATAAACAATTTAAAAAATTGCGTTTAGAATCTTTTACTTTAACTATTAACTGTTATTCCTCTTCTGATTGTTATTGCCTCACAAATGACAATTTGGTACTGCAAATCCTTAATATTATAGTTGGAACAGAAGATGAAATTTTAATAATTGGTAAATATTTTCTTTCTTATAAGTCTTTTTATTCATATCCTATTGAATCGAAAGATTTATATATTTTTGAAGTAAAAAATTTATCAATACAGAATCATACGAGGTCCTACAAAGATATTATTGCGAAATGTATACTTTTACCAATGGATAAAGTTTTGTTATCTATGCCTTTAATACATTCATTATCAGCTTAATAATTATTATGTTTTTTACTTGAAAACATTCTTGTATAATTAATTTTTTAATAACTTTACATTATAATTCATAATTTTAATTGTTTATTTTATAATAAGATATAAATGTATATATGTTTGTTATAATATATATACAACATAATTTTTTTATAAAAAGATTAATGTATATGTTTGTTATAATATATACAACATTATAATTCATAATTTTAATTGTTTTTTTTTATAATAAGATATAAATGTATATATGTTTATATATATATATATATATATATATATATATATATATATACAGGGTGGGGCATTTATCTTGAGACAAGATAATATCTCGATTGGAGTCGATTATTTTGAAAAAAGTTTTAGACAAAAGTTGTATGGTTTCAAGGGGGACATAAGATGGTGTTATTAGTTTGATCTTGAAGAGCCACCTGAAGGACACGCGAAGGTCAGCTCCAACTTTTTAAATGGGACACCCTATATGCTTTTGCATATTCTTGTAGCTCATCTCAAGAGCTTTCCAAAACACTATAATTAAGTTAGTTTTCATTAAGTACTTTCCAAGTTATGAGGCTTGAAATCATTTTTTAATTTTACATAAACCGTAAAATATCTTGTAAAATATTCATTTTTCGATTATTTTACCTTAATACTTTTATGTACAAAATAATGAGAGGAATCAATTGGTGTAAAGAAAAGACATAGTTATTTTTAAGAAAAAATATGTAATTGTTAATTGCAAATTACATTTTTTTTTTCGAAACAACTATGAGTTTTCTTTACACCAATTGATTTTTCTCATTATTTTGTACATAAAAGTATTAAGGTAAAATAATCGAAAAATGAATATTTTACAAGATATTTTACGGTTTATGTAAAATTAAAAAATGATTTCAAGCCTCATAACTTGGAAAGTACTTAATGAAAACTAACTTAATTATAGTGTTTTGGAAAGCTCTTGAGATGAGCTACAAGAATATGCAAAAGCATATAGGGTGTCCCATTTAAAAAGTTGGAGCTGACCTTCGCGTGTCCTTCAGGTGGCTCTTCAAGATCAAACTAATAACACCATCTTATGTCCCCCTTGAAACCATACAACTTTTGTCTAAAACTTTTTTCAAAATAATCGACTCCAATCGAGATATTATCTTGTCTCAAGATAAATGCCCCACCCTGTATATTATATATATATATAATATATGTTTTGTTACAACATATCCATCAGATGTATATGCCAAGTTACATATCAGCAATAAATACATGTGAAATAAATATGTACTATACATTTTTTATCTTGTCCAAAATATTAAAATGACGTCTTTCTTACGTCAGAATAGAGTAAAAAAGGTTATTATAACACGTCATTTTCACGTCTCATTATGACGTCTGTGGGCTGTGACTTATTCCCGTCATTTTTACGTTATTATTACGTATTTATAAAAGGATAACTGACGTTACGACTGACCAAAAATTAACGTGAAAATCACGTGACGTTGCTGCCTGGGCAGCAGTCTGCAATTTTTCCAGATTTCCAGGTTTTTTACGCAGGTTTCCTTTTTTTGTTATACTTGAGGAGAGTATATATTTAAGTTTAATTTTTTATAAAAAATAATCCAATATAATTTAAAAGTATTCCTATATTTTTATAATTGATTATACGTACAAACAATACATAACCTCAATTTATATTCCATTTTTTGATAATATATATATACAGGGTGTCAATTAAGTCCCGGGACGGCTGAATATTTTCTCATGTAAGGTATTTTTGAAAAAGGTCAAGGTCATTTCTGAAGTAATTTTCAATGAGGAATTCAACGGTGACCTTCAATTTGACCTTGAGCTTGACCTTCAAGGTTATTTGAAGGTCAAAGTGTTTTTTTAAAATA